GCAGGGGAGCGGCAGCTGCTTTCACCCCCGTCCTCTCCTTTGATGGATCCTCCTGGCCTCATCATCCCCTCCCCACTTTTTACATAGTTGCCATGAGCTAGACAAGCCCACCGTTACTCAGTAGCAGACAAAACTCACACCTGCTTGGTCCCAAAGACCAACTTAGTCCCACCTCACGCTCTTGCCAGCTGGCCTGGACGCTGCTTTCCACATCAGCCCATGGAGTGTGACCCTGGGTGTTGGGGTGGGGAACGTCCAGCCCGCAGGCCGCACAGGGCCATGAAACCATGTGGTCTGGCCCTGCCAGGGCCACCACAGATGAGACTCAGCATTCAAAACATCTACAGCAGGCTTGTTTTATTTTTTTCTTTTTTAGAATGATTTTTAGTAGTTTTTAAACTTTACTTAGGTTATACAAGTTTCATGTATTTCATTTATAGATTTTTTTAAAACTTTTATTTAATATTAATTTTGAAAATACAACTTTTGGATTATAGCAGCTTTCCCCCCTATAACCTCCCTCCACCCGCAACCATCCCATCTCCCACTCCCTCTCCCATATAATTCTTCATTAATTTTTAATTATCTTTATATACAGGAGATCAACTTAGTATATACTAAGTAAAGATTTCAACAGTTTGCACCCACACAGACACACAAAGTATAAAGTACTGTTTGAAGACTAGTTTTACCACTAATTCACATAGTACAGCACGTTGAGGACAGAGGTCCTACATGGGGAGCAAGTGCACAGTGACTCCTGTGGTTGATGTAACAATTGACACTCTTATTTATGACATCAGTAATCACCTGAGGCTCTTGTCATGAGCTGCCAAGGCTATGGAAGCCTCTTGAGTTCACAAACTCCAACCTTATTTAGACAAGGCCATAATCTAAGTGGAAGTTCTCTCCTCCCTTCAGAGAAAGGTACCTCCTTCTTTGATGGCCTGTTCTTTCCACTGGGATCTCACTCACAGAGATCTTTCATGTAGGCTTTTTTTTTTTTTTCCCACAGTGTCTTGGCTTTCCATGAGCAGGCTCATTTTTAAGTCAATCATTTTGTATGGCCCGGTCCCTGGCGGGACCAAGGTGCCCCAGCCTCGCGTGGATCATGAGCTCGGTCTGTGGGTCACATTAAAGGCAGGGCTGTAACAGCCCAGGACATAAGGAGTACATCACAGGAGGAAGCAGAGTTTTCTCAGACTCTTGTTTCCGAGAGCCCTCTGTGCAGAGCCACCTTTGTCCATACAAGAGGGACGAAAATGACCGCTCCTTCCCCACGGGGTTGCTGTGAGGGAAGGGGATGACGGATGCAAAGGCTGGCGCATACTGAGACTTACACGAATATTCAGGATGCACCTGTGTAAATGAGTGTGATGTACAATGCACTTCTTACTGCAAACTGCAATCAGAATCTCAAAAAGACTGAATTCACATCTCTAGAGCAGGGGCTGGCAGCATTCAGAGCTCCCAGCCCGCAGCCTACTTTTGTAAATAAAGTTTTATTAGAACATAGCCATGGGGCCAGTGCTGTGGAGCAGTGGGTTAACACCCTGGCCTGAAGCGCCGGCATCCCATATGGGCGCCGGTTCTAGTCCTGCCTGCTCCTCTTCCGATCCACCTCTCTGCTGTGGCCTGGGAAAGCAGTCGAAGATGGCCCGGGCCCTTGGACCCCTGCACCCGCGTGGGAGACCTGCAGGAAGCTCCTGGCTCCTGACTTCGGATCAGTGCAGCTCCGGCCACTGCAGCCGATTGGGGTGTGAACCATCAGATGGAAGACCTCTCTCTCTCTGTGTCTCTCTTTTCTCTCTGTATAACTCTGACTTTCAAATAAATAAATCTTTAAAGGACATAACCATGATCCTTCATTCATACATCGTCTGTGGTGATGCTGGGCGATAATGGCATGGCTGAGAAATTGTGGCAGGACCTTGGTGGCCCATAGAAACTACACTATTTACTATCTGTCTCTCTAGACCAATGTCCCTGCCTGGAGTTCATCCCATCACACAAGGGATATTGAGGCCTCACCTTAGGCCCTCCTACAGAGTGGCACCCCACCCGCGCAGGCACTGCCTCAGCCAACTGCTCTGGGCCTGTGAGGCGGCCAGGCCCCTGGGGGTCCAGAAGCTCCATACCCAACTACTTTGCACTGGTGTCTGCCTAGTGCAGGGCTGGAGACCTGGGACTCTGGTCAAGATGCCTGCAGGAAACAGATGGTGACTCACATTAGAATAATCCAAGGAGTGTTTAATAAGGAGACAGTCTACACAGGTGAGGGCCGAGGGTAGGGAAGTCCCAAGCGGTAGGCAGGAAGCAGAGCACTCAGGCTGGGAAAAACAGAGCTGTTTGTGGGGAGCAACTCGGACTAGACTAAGTTACTGGAATTAAGACTTATTCTATGCATCTGCTCTCCCACAATATGGCGCTGAGAAGGGAGTAACAACTTCTACGCAGCTGCCTCTCACCAACTTGAGTGATGACCTGCAGGAGCTGATCCTGCTCCTGATTGGAGGAGAGCAGCGTACTCGGCGTGTGGGTAGCAGAGTTGGGATTGGTGGAAGAGGACTATAAAGGAGGAGAGAGACAACATGCACCGGGAACATTTATCTGAAGGAACACCTGAGCAGCCCCCGAGAGAGCCGGCCGGCGGTGTGCCGCTCCCCCGCGGAAAGTGGGGAAAGTGGCAGGGGGAACCGCCCTTCCACGGAGGTGGAAGGGATGGTAGCCAACCCGGGAAGAACCAGCAGCAAACCCGGGAAGGGCCGAGCAGACAAAAGAACAGCGCAGGGTCCTGTGTCGTTCCTCCGTGAAGTGGGGGAGCGACATAATGGTGCCGTGACTCGGATATGAAGCCTAGGCAGGGTTTAGTGTCGTTCCTCCACGAAGAGGGGGAGCGACAGCTGTTGGCACCGTAGGCTGAGCGAGCAGACAGGGCAGAGAGCTATTCCTGAACTTGGAAGGACAGGGTCACATAGAAGGGGGACCCCTTGTTTAGGAACAGTGGGGAGCCAGCTCCAGGGAACCCCCAGAGTGGGAGCCAGGACACCAAATGCCTTGATCTCCTGTGGAGGGTTCCCCACCGGCCCAACTGCAACGGAAGCCAGAGGCAGGAGGCTCTAAGGTCTAGGGGCCCAGTGGGGCCCAGCGTCCCAGGGCAGAGAGCCAGGTAGAGAGGCTGGAAAGGGCACCTGAAGGGCAAAGCCCCTGCCCCAGCACTCAGTGCACTGATTTAAAGGGCCAGGCTGATTCACCATCCATCCCCAAGCCCCCTTCACATGCCCCCCCCCACTTCCACCCCCCTTCACCCCTGCAGGTCGGGAGTTTCACCTGAACACTGAAAGGTGGCCACAACTTTCGCCTTTCTTCTTCCTGTACCTGCTGGCCTCCAGATGGCTATCATGGGGTTAATCTTCCTGGCTCTTATCATCATCAGGGGGTGGAAGGTTAGGAGAAACAGAGATAAGCTGCTGTTTTGTGGGCTTTGGTGAGCCTGAGCAAAGCATGAGTCACAGGCTGTAGATTCTTACACTTCTCTATGTCCTGTCTTTTGATCTCAGGAAGGAGCCATGTCCCATTCATCTCTGCGGTGCAGCTCAAGTCCACAAACAGGTGAGCCCACCTCTGGCCCTCTGGGAGTAAGAGCCAGCGTGAAGAGCTGAAGGGTGTCCCCAGAGTAATCCACTCCAGTGGCCAGATCCCCTCTGCTGGCCCAGACTTCCTTAGCTGCCATCTGATATCTCATAAGCTCTAAACGCAGCCAGAAAACTGTAGCACCTTACCCAGAGGGGCTACTGTGGCTAGTTCCAAAGGCTCAGCTGGTGAGAACTCACAGAGAGGAAGGCATGGGTGAGGCAGGCCAGCCGCCTTGCAGCAGAGCTGGGGCTGGAATTCAGGACCGGGGATTATCAGGGGTTTCCCTCTCTCTTACAGAAGATAAAAGTTGAAGTCAATCTTGCAGCCCTGGGAACAGACTTGGCAAAAATGCAAAGTGTGGTCTAGTCTTAGGCACGTTTCTGTGTCTAGACCAGCCCCTGGATGTTTGCCTAGCTCCAGAAAACAGTTCTGTGTGGGCTGGGTGAGGGCACAGGCCCTGAAATGCCACACCCACCCTCCAGTGGCCATTGGACATTCAGCACGCGTCAGTGAAGCTCAGTTTTCTAGTCCTCTTTGTCTGGTGCTGCCATCAGGCTCTGAGTTGTATGAACCCCAACACCACACTAGCAAATGCCCTGCAGTGGCCAACACACAACGCTTTCCTTTTCTTCATTCTCCAGTGGAAGGCCAGGGACATCTTTGCAAACACTTTTTCATAAAGACAGGGGCCCATGAGTTTGAGTGAAGCTCACCCTTTATGCTGCGACCCTAAGGACGGGGACCCCTCCTCGCCTGAGAGTGCGAGGCCTCCTGGAGCGCTCAGCTCTCTCTCAAGTTCATGGGCTCCAGCATCACTCAAGTTCCCCCTCCCTCCTTCGCCTCCCATCTCTTCAGACACACGAAGAGCTGAGACTCGTCACCCAAGTGCTCAGGGTTTAAATTAGCCAACTTTGTCCTGACAGGAACCGAGTCACAGCTGTCAGAGCTGATTATTTTTAGAGTTACTACTACAGCCTTCGCACGGGGATGAGCTGCCACCGTTCAGGGCGGACAGAAAGCTGCTCTGTTTCATCGTGACAGCTCTGCAGCCATCTGCCTCCCCGGACGGTGTAGCGTCCTGACACTCCCACCGCGAGGAAGGCGGGCCCTGTGGCTTGTTCCTACGTCTCAGGGACTGGACGCCCCCAGAGCTGAGTCAAGGAGAAATATCTCCAGGAGCAGTTAGCTGTTCAGGAGTTTTGCTCACAAGAACCATCATCCTGTGTGAGTGGCAAAAAAATGGACCCTCCGGTAGCCAGCCAATGAGAGTGCCAGATGCAAATAGCCACAGGTGTCGGCTGGGATTGGCTAGCTTGTGGGTGACGTCACAATCTCCCTCCTCTGACCCAACAATGTCAGCAGCACTGAAAAGGCGGACACCTCCTCCAGCTCTTGCAGAGAGGAAAATTCACCACAAGCAGAGAACCTTCTCAGTTGCTCCTGGAGTGCAAGGGCAGTGGTCTCTGCTGTCCAAGTTATTGAGCCCAGAAAAAAAATGATCTTATGAATTATGGGAAAAGAAGTCCAGCCGAGGCCAAAGGCGAATGTCTCTTCTTACATCCACTTTTTGCTGAATTATCGAAACAAGTGCAAGGAGCAACAGCCAAACACCTACCTTGGGTTTAAAGAGTTCTCTAGGAAGTGTTCAGAAAAATGGAGGTCCATCTCGAAGCACGAAAAGGCCAAATACGAAGCCCTGGCTAAGCTCGACAAAGCCAGGTACCAGGAAGAAATGATGAATTATGTTGGCAAGAGGAAGAAACGGAGAAAGCGGGACCCCCAGGCGCCCCGAAGACCTCCCTCGTCCTTCGTCCTTTTCTGCCAAGACCACTATGCCCACCTGAAGCGGGAGAACCCCAAGTGGTCAGTGGTGCAGGTGGCCAAGGCCACGGGGAAGATGTGGGCCGCGAAGTCGGACGCGGAGAAGCAGCCGTATGAAGAGAGAGCAGCTTACCTGAGAGCTAAGTATTTTGAGGAACTGGAAGACTACCAGAAGCAGCGCCACGCCAGGAAGAAGAGCCTCCGGGTGATGGCCAAGAAACGGCGCCGAGGGCGAACAGGCAGGCAGAGATGATGGATCCGATATGAGAAAATAAAAATGCCATTCAACCATCCCTGGTCTTGTGTGTGGCATGGGAACAGCCGCGGAAGGGAGGGGCTGGGTGGAGGAGAAGAGGATGGGGCTGGGAGACGGAACCCTGGGCATTGAGAAGGGAGGGCAGCCACATCCGACGGAGTGGGGCTTGGGCAGGGGGGGCGGGGCAGATTCCATGGATAAAGAAGCCGGAAGTCACACAGGAGGTGCATCCTGGGTGGAGGACCCTCACTCAGGGTCAGGTTCAGGAATTGCAGGCCCAGTGTTGGTGAGGACTGGGTGGCTGCCGGGGTCAGAGGTGCCTAGAGCTCAATGCAGGCTTCCACGTCAGGCCCCCATGTGGGAACTATCCCATGGCCCCAGGTTGGACCCCACTCAAGTGTGGGATCAAGCCAGGGGAGGCTGGGAAGCTGCGTGTGGGTGGGCCTGGGAGGCGGTGGGGGGCATGCTCCCTCAGCCATTCCAGATCCCAAGTCCCCTGTAGGACACCTTGTTGGGCTGTGTGACACCGCAGTGCTGTACCCTAGTCAGGATGAGGCCAGGAGCTATTTTCCCAAAAGGAACAAAACGAGGCCTGGAGCACCCAGCCGCTCGTTCTGGGACATACACGATGGAACAAATGACCACCTGGCGTCCCTGCCTCTTCCTCTCGGCCATAAAGCACATCTGACTCTCTTTTGTGGTCAAGGCTTGCTCAGAGGACAGAACCTCCCTGGACAGAGCGATTGGTTGAATGATGGGCATGTGACCCATGCTGGCCCAATCAGAGTGGATCTCAGGCCTTGTGGGTGGGTGGGGGGGCGGGTGCAGCTGGGGGCTGCTGACAGCCTCTCAGGGCCTGAGGACCAGGCCCCTTGATACCAGGGCGATCTCTAGGACGTGTCGTGACAATGAGCTTACACACTTCTTTGCCTTCTGCCTAAGATGGTTTGGGCTGGGTTTCCTGCCATGTGCAGGTCGCTTCACACACACGGACTGGGCTGTCTGTGTATAGCTGGAGTCTTCCAGGCACCAGGTACCGCAGGCAGTGCTGCATGCCAGCTGGCCGAGACCGGGAGGGGACACTTGGCGAATGGTGCTGTGGATCTCTTGTGGTTCTGTGGATCTCAGAACGACTGGGCCCAGCCCGCCTTTCCTGTGACCTTACTCGTGCGACGCGCTTCCCTAACTCCAGTCCACCCCCGCTCTGCTCTACTGCGCCATTGAAATTTTGCAGAACAAAAGCCAAAACACAGTTTTGAAAAGTCTTCAAGACCCGCCTGAGTCTTCGGAGGCCAGAGGCCACATAGACTCAGGCAGGCTGCTAAGGACGGGGTCCCCTGGGCTGGACACGGGGGACACAACACAGAACACCGTTAGGCTCTCGTCCTGCCAGTGCTCCCCTTCTGACGAGACAGGCGGACTTGGGCACGAATCACAGGCAATGATGATGGGGGAGTGGGGAGGGGGCCCTACCAGGACAATCTCAGAGGTCTCCATAGAGGCAGAAGCCATATTCAACTCAACAAACTCATCCCCGTGCTGGCAAAAGTCCTGGCCCGCATTCTCCACCAGCCTGGCTCTGCTTCCCTCCGGCCCACCCCCCACCCTCTCGGGAGACGCCCTCATTTGCTGCTTCATTGAGACAGTAGAGATCACCAGACCTAAGTGCTCTCAGTTTTCGTAGTGTAATGCTCAGCCTAGCCTTTCCTCCTGGTTGCGCATCTCCTAGGGAGCTGCACCCCTGCTCCTCTGGCTACCCCCACCCCTGCCTCCCCCCACCCCTTGCTTCTCACTGTAAGGACTTGGCCCCTTCAGTGTCTGCACCTGCGCAGGTTAACATGATGCCAGGATACGGTGGCTCCAATCTTGTCCCTCTGAGCTTCAGACTTCTCACCTGCACAATGGGGGTGCTGCTGTGTTCTTGGTTGCTTTCAATGGGGGTGGCACATGCAACAGCGTCTGGCACACACCTGGACACCGATGGGTACCTAGAGGTACACCCCCTCTTGGACAGCTGTTCCCAGTGCTCACACCCTCAGGTAATGCCTTCCCGGTAAGTGGGAGCAGGGCCCCTGACTAGCATCTAACAGGTGGACAATGGCAGAGGGGGCGGGCTTCATTTCTGTGGTTAAGAAACGAGATGTCACACTCCCCTTTGTTGGCTGGTTTGCTCTGGAGATTCCCTTACTGACTGATGAGCTAGGCAAGCACGTTTGGGAAGCCCATGTGGCCAGGACCTGGAGGAAACCTCTGGCCACTGAGGGAGCCCTCAGGCCCACAGCCCCCAAACCCGGGAGCTTGCAGTGTCACCGCCGCAGGAAGTGATAAGCCACCAGATGAGGATGCAGCCCTGGCCGCCACCCAGATTGTGAGACCTCAAGCTATGGATCCTACTAAGCTGTTACTGGGCTCCTGGCCCCTAAGCGTATAAATGCATGTCTCAACAGAACCAGTGAACCATTGAAATGCTTTTCATTTGTGGTCATCTGTTCCACCAAAACAGATAACCTAGCGTGTTACTCCCTGACTGCCGGCTTCCTCCTAATTTTGGAAGAGGCTATTTCTTCTCCTGGTGTCTGCCTCCAGCCTCTACCCTCTACCCGGTTAATTTCCCTTCCTTTGAGACCAGGCTCTGGAAGGCTGTGCTGCCTGGTTTCCAGTGTGGATGGTGGGCTCATGGTGGGAGCAGCCGTGTGATGAACCATACCACTCCCTGGGAACAGGTAGCCCACAGAGCTGGCCCTGGGCCCTCACGCCACCCCTTTCTGGTTTCCCAAGTGATCAATTTCATGAATGTGGGTGGCCAAATCCAAGTTTAGACAACAGTCTGCTGTGCCCCTGCCAATCACAAACTTCCCTGACAGCCCTTTATGACAAAGACAATAGGTGCATGTGACTGCTAAGGACTGGAACACAATGATGGTGGGGGTGGGGAGAAGTGGGGGGAGCCTGGACCTAAGCTAACAGGTGAGAGGGAAACCCCTTGTGCTGCCAGTATCCCAGGCCTGCTCCACTGGGCTCTGGTGCTCTGTCCTTGGGGAACACGTCTTGGTGAAGGAATGGCTCCACCCTGACCCTTTCTCCTGTGCTCACCAAGTCACTTATTTATTCATTCATTCATTCAACACATATTCATGTAAATCCAGTGCCTGCCCCATCCCAGGAATGGTTCTGGTACTGGGACACACAGCTACATTCCAGTGAGGAGGAGACAGACCACAAGGAAGTCAGCACATAAAGCCAGATCACTTTGCACTACTGTCAAATGTGGCAGAGGAAATGAGGCAGGGGTGTGAGACAAATGAGGACACGGACCCGGGTGGTTAGAGGCTCTCTGGAGAGATCAGATTTGAGGTCAGGTTTAAAGGGCAGGAGGGGGCCAGGCATGCTGAGGTTTAAGGGGAGAGTTCAGCTTGCCAGGCAGCAGGTACAAGGCCTGAGGCAGGAGAGAGCTTAGAATGTTAGTGGGACAGAAGCAAGACCAGAGTGGTAGAAGTGAGAGCAAGCGGGGGAGATGCAGTTGGAGTGTGAGCCTTGGCAAGGAGTTTGTTTTGAAACCAAAGTGTAGTGGGAGTGCTACGTTTGGAACATTCGTCCAGCTGAACTCAGGAAGTTAGTCCCCAAAGTCTTGCTCATAGAATGAAGAGGTCTTTCATTATAGTGGCGAAAAGCTGATCAATACAAGCAGCCACAGGAAGTTTTCAACAGTGGGGAGCCGTGTGCTTGATGCCTAGTTATCGGTCATCACAGGGTCTTCAGAGGCTAGGACGTGCCGACGAGGGTATGCCAGCCCCTCCGAGGACTGTAAGAGAAGCAGGCAAGGCTGGAAAACCCCAGACCCATAATGCTTTCCCTTCTGGATCTGGGAGGACAAGAAGCTTCCAGTTGGTATCCCTTGGGGCAGCTGCAAGCTCAACTCCAACTGTGGCGACATCTCTCTCTGTGATTCACTCTCCCAGTGTGGGGGCAGTGCCTGGGCATGGATGGCAGAATATTCCAGGGACACACTTCTTCCTGGGTCTCAAGTTTCCACTGGAACAACTTCCAATAGGGCAATCAGGGCCTGTCTGAGACCACCTGCGGGGCTCACCACAACCCCAGGGTACGACTCGGTATTTCTGGACCTTGGACCCACAAATTGCATTTCTGAAAGCCCCCAGGTGGCACTGATTCTGGGACCCCAGAACCACAGAATTCTCCTTCTTGCAGCCTCTAATTCACTCTGCAGAGGGGCCAGACACATTTGACCGGTGGGTCTGGGAGGAGTGGACCACGCTCACTGCAGCCTCCCTCCCTCTCCTCTCCATCCTCTCTTCTGCTCCTCTGCCTTGCTCTCCACTCTCTGATCAGTTCACCAGCAACACAGGTGCCATTCTGATCCTTGTCTTTCTCTCGCATCTGCCCACTGATTCCACTCTTGAGAGGGGAAGAGCTATATTTATTTACTGGCTTTCCCTCAAATCCAGTGAATCAGAGAAGCTGAGCCCAGTGGCAAAACAATGACTTGGCATCCGGGGCCCACAGGCAGCACAGGGATCTTGGGCCTGCGTTCAGCCTCCATGGAGACACTGACATCTCGGGGCAGAAGCGTCCAGGTCCTAGGCCTGAAAGGCTGGAGGTCAGGTCTGCGGACAGGCTGGGGTCAACAGGATGAGGTCACAAAGGCATTGGTGCCCACTCTGTCCTGTCCCATGACCTCTTATCCCAAATGACAGCTGTCCGCAGTATCCTGGGGAAGAGATGGAATGCCTGGGCCACTGCTGCAAACAGAGGCAGGTGTGTAAGAAGCACCTCCGGTCCCGGTCTCTGAAGTTCAGTTTAAAGGATGCAGGAGCAGCATTAGAAACAGTTCCACGTGGGAGAGGCAACTGACCAGAGCCCCCAGAGGGCCAGGTGCCTCTCGGGGCTGGCCTTGACCTCTGGGTTAGATCGCCAAGGGCACAATGAGCACCCTGTTTTGAGGCCATCCCTTTGCTGCAGTCACCTTGTCACTGCACCCCCATGCATTGCTCCATTTCCAATCCTGTCTCTGCTGAGTGGCGTTGCCCATCGCCTATGGGAGGGAGGCTGGCACAGCATAATCAGGGCAATGGGGCCTCACCAGTGGCATTGTCCCTGACATTCATGATGGTGGCAGCTTCAGAAATGCTCCCTGTGAGCCCCACCTCCTGAGATCCACACCCTTGTGCCAGCCCCTCCCCTTGAATGTGTCTGGCCTTAGTGACTTGCTTGAAATGAATACAGCAGGGCACACGCTGTCTCTCGCATGTGGAAGGAAGGTGAATCGTTGCAGGTCAAAGGGCAGACTGTGGTGGGCAACTGCGGAAATGACCCCTGGTGCGACCCCCACCCCTGTGGGGGGGCTGAGCCTAGTGACTGGATACTAATGAAGAGAATGCAGAGGGAGTGATGGGGACGGCACTTCTGACACTGGGTTACAAAACACGGTGACTTCTGGCTTTCTCTCTCTCTCTCTCTCTCTCTCTGGCTTGCTCTGATGAAGACAGTGGCCATGAGACAGCGGCCCTATGGAAAGGAGTGAGGGCTGTCCCTGGCTCACATCACCGGAGAACTGAGCCCTGCAAGCAGCCTTGTGAACACCTGGAAACCCTAAGCCAGAGAACCGAGCCCAGCCACACGTGAGGCCCTTATTTCTTAAATACTTATGTATTTATTTAAAAGGCAGAGTGACAGAGAGCCAAGAAGAGGGACAGGGAAATGAGGCAGAAGAGAGCAAGTGAGAGATTTTCCGTTCACTGGTTCACTCCACAAATGCCTGCGACAGCTGTTAGCCCAGAACTCTTTCCTCCTCTCCCACATGGGTGTCGGCGCCCAGGTACTCGGACCATCACCTGCTGCACATTAGCAGGAAGCTGGAGGGGCTGGTGCTCAGCCTCTGCCTCTCTGTAACTCTGCCTTTCAAATATGTCTTTAAAAAAACAGAACAAAAGCAGGGAGCTGGACTGGAAGCAGAGCAGCTAGGACCGGACTGGCTCTCTGACGTGGGCCTGGGGCAGCTTAACTGGCTGCACACCACCAACAGCCACCACACACAGAAGCTATGAGACAATAAATGTTTTAAGCCACTAAATTTGTGGGCTACCTGTGACACAGCAATAGATTCCTAACACACCCACTCCAAAGTCCTGCTACACTGCATTTCCCCAGAAACACTACTCTGTGTCCCCAGGACCTCTTCACATGCTACTCCAGGCTGGGGTCATCTCTCCCACCTTTAGGTCTGCAGAACTTGGACCCATGCTGCAGGACCCAGGTCAGGTGCCCCTTCCTTCAGGAAGCCCTCCTTGACTCTCCCACCCTCCTCTGTGTTCCCATAACAGCTTGCGTAAGTTCACACATCACCACCGCCACGCACAGTTCCTTCTGGCTATTGCTTGTCTTTGTAACTGACCGAGGAGGGCAGGGACCTTGCTGTAGCATCACAGAGCCCTAAAACAGAGCACCAAGTTTCCCACGGAGCAAAGCCATCATAGCCAACTTTCATTGAATGCATCTGCCATGCCTGGGACGCCTTGAAACGATTCCATGTAATTATCTCACTTAAACCAATTCCAGTGAGGTAGGTAATTGCCACGCCTCATTTTATACACCAGGAACCTGCACACGGTGAGAAGCTCAGTGCAGGCTGGTGGGGAAATGAGGGATTGACTCAGGAGGGGCACACAGTCCCTCTGGTCCTGTGCCTGTCGGTGGCCCGTCCCGCTCCTCTTAGGAACTCTGCAAATACCAGAGTTGACAGAACTGGACACATAAACACACACACACACACACACACACACACCCTGTGCTTGTGCTCGGCTGTTCACATAGAGAAACACCTGGATCTCCCCTCTGAGGAAGGGCCTGGCTGGTGCCCAGACTTGGATGGGCACCTGTAGCCACGCCCCTCCCACCCCACCCCAACATGCCAGGCTCACAGTTGGGCTTGCAGGCTGAACGAGCATTTCCCACCCTCCACACCCTGTGGTCAGGAACCACCAGATTCCTCGAAGCCCACGCTGAAACGAGCAGGTGCAGCCCTGTGTTCTAAAGCATCATCTGCAATCAGCAGCAGCGGGAACAGAAGATCTCCGTGGCCTCGGGAAATCTCTGGGCTCAGGGAAGCTGGACAGGCTCCTCTGGCCCCCTCTGCCCTGGCCGGTGGGCAAGAGCGAACTCCCACCTGCAGAGGACCCACTCTGCCAGGGGGCAGGAAGGGGACCGCAGAGGCCTGATGGTTACTCCACGGGTCACCTGGCACCCCTGCCTCCTCTCTGTGCTGTATGGAACACCTCGAGGATGCCCCATGGTGGGGGGTGGGGAGGCAGACCACAGGGCCGAATGTCAGAGGCAGACACGGTTATCATGGGGTTGAGGTTTGCAGTGCAGAAGGAAGAGGTGTGAGATGCAGAAAGGGGAGGTTCAGTGCCCAGGGCCACCATGGCAGGGGTTTATGTGGACTTTTTAGAAAAGAAGCTGCTTGGGGCCAGTGCTGTGCCACAGTAGGTTAAGCATCTGCCCGTGGCCCTGGCATCCTATATGGGTGCCAGTTCATGTCCCAGCTGCTCCACTTTCGATCCAGCTCCCTGCTAAAGGCCTGGGAAAGCAATGGAAGATGGCCCAAGTGCTTGGAAGATGACCCAAGTGGGAAACCCAGAAGTTGTTTCTGGCTCCTGGTTTCGGAGCAGCACAGCTCCAGCCATTGCAATCAACTGGGGAATGAATCAGCAGGTGGAGATCTCTCTCTCTGTCTCTCCCTTTCTTCCTTCTTTCTTTTTTTAAAGATTTATTTTTATTTATTTGAAAAAGCTGCAGAGAGAGGTAGAGACAGATAGAGAGGTCTTCCATCCTCTGGTTTACTCCCCAGATAGCCACAACAGCCAGAGCTGCGCTGATCCGAAGCCAGGAGCCAGGTGCTTCTTCCGGGTCTCCCATGTGGGTGCAGGGGCCCAAGGACTTGTGCCATCTTCCACTGCTTTCCCAGGCCATAGCAGAGAGCTGGATCAGGTGAGGAGCAGTGAGGACTAGAACCCGCACCCATATGGGATGCCAGTGCCTCAGGCCAGGGCTTTAATCCGCTGCACCACAGCGCCAGCCTCCCTCTCCCTCTTTCTGTCTGTAGCTCTGCCTTTCAAGTAAATAAATAAATCTTTTAAAATATAAAAAGAAGTGGCTGGGTAGGGAGAACTCTGGGTGCCCCTTGGCTCTTGTCTGCAAGAAATGGAATCGACCAACCAGCATACATTGCACACGAGCTAGGCACCAGACTCTCCTTCCAGGCCTCATCATGCTGAATTGCAAAGGCAGTGTCAACGTTGTTCCCCTGCCCCACCCCCCAGGCTGACTTCAGCCAGGAATCCACTCACAGCTGCCCAAAGTTGGGTTTGTGGACCAGTGGCAATGGGGGAGAACGAGTGCCTCCAAGAACCGCAGGGTGCCTCTGTAAGAAGGTACTGGAAGGAACTCATGGCAGGATTTTGTGCTGTGTTAGGTGACCATGTAGGGGGAGGGTTCAAGGGAGTAGAGCTTTGGCCCCATTGGTTGCTGCTAAGAAGGAGCTGTCATGTTCAGGCTGGCTACTCCCAACGTTTTACCTGGAAGGTTGGAGGCAAGAAGCAAGACTAGCGTTGCAATTCGGCAAGATGGGGAGCGAGGGCGCCATGAGGTCGTTTTGGATAGTGGGCAATGTTCTTATTTTTGTCTGAGGTCAGACATGATTTTGAAGTCGTCTTCTTTTCAACTTCATCCATCAAGTGCACAGAGTGGCCTTGTCTGCTGTTGACATTTTGTAAGATTATTTATGGACAAAGGAAAGCCCCAAGGCCTGGGTGCAGAGGCCAGGCTTGTTTGGGATCACCAGGGGCTACTGTTCTCTTTTTCAGTTTCCAGTTCCAATTCCCAGCAACAGGCTCAGAGGGGTTGAGTAACTGGTCCAGGTTGTCACAGCTAGGAAGTAGTGCCCGGGTTCCAGGGTCATTGACACTTGGGGGGAACCCAGACACTCGACAGTGAGATGGGACAGGAGAGTCTGAGATGACAGGAAGCCAGGCTGACCGCAGGGTGAGACAGAACGAACACAGGGCGTGGAGGCCGAATCTGTCCCTGCTACTTAGCTATGTGGCCTCGGCAATTTGCTGAGCCTCAGACATTGCACTGATGGCTCGATAGGAACACAAAAATCTATTTCCTGGGGTTAGCGTGAGAATAATCCCAGAAGACATGGAGCAGAAAGCAAGGCGATGCCCAGGAAACCGGGACCACTCCGAGCCCTTACTGCATGCCAGGTGTGGCTCCTCCCGTGGACTAACTCTTCTGTGCTCATGGCAACCCCAGCAGGCAGATTCTTTTCTAACCACTGGCTTGCAGGGGAGAAGATGGAGGCACAGAGAGCTTAAACCGCATGTCTGAGGTCACACAGCCATCAGCTCGTGCAACTCAGGCACTCACTCTGGCTGCAGCTCCCTCACCCCATAGCCTCTCCCATAGCAGCTGCAGGTGCCACCCCTTCCCGTGCTGCGCCAAGTCCAGACCTGCAAGACCCTGGCCGCGTTTCCCCGGCGATGGAAGGCCAGGAAAGTCCCCAGGCCCCCGGCTTCTGCTTGCTTCCCTCTAAGTTACTCGCTTTGGCTCTGGTTCAGACAGCATTCATTTTCCTGTAGAAGGTCAGAACATTCTTGGCATGACGGAAACACAGATTCAGGTCGCCGTAGTCAATAGATCAAATAAAATAGAGTATTGCCTTATTGGTATTTCCACACCTTCCAGGAAGAACCGAAGTCAGACAAAACGCTGCGAAAGGAGTCAAAACGGAAGAGGCTGGGAGCACCAACCCAGGGCTGTAGCACCAGCGCCCTCTGGGCAAGATGGACGCGTGGGCTGAAGGCAAATGGCTGCCCGGGAGGGAGGGGACAGGCCACTCTAGGTCCCCCGATCCATCACAGCAGAAGACTGATGCATGGTGCAAGCCTAAGCGTTCACTTCGCCTCTCCCGCTCCTGCGGAGTGGGTTTACAGGCCGCGTCACACGTTTTGGGAGAATGGGAGGCTGGGATTCCCAGCTCCGGCGACACCAGTGACCAAGGTCCCTACGCTGCTGATCCGGCCAGTCAGTGCCCCTGCTGTACTTGGGGGAGGCGGAGGCCTGGCACGCACATCCAGCCTCTCCCTGCTGTTTGGGTCCGGTCTCGATCCTCGCCATCCACGTGGCTGAGGCTCATCTGTTCTTAATTATACCTCTAAATCCCAGGGCCTTATGACTTGGCGACTCTGGGAGACGGAGCTGCTCAGGGGCTTCCCAGCAGTCTCCACAAGCCCTGGTGTTTACAGAGCTCCCCTTGGCAGACGGGGAGCGCCGGGGACACAACACCGCAGGGGTGAGAACGGCCTGAGACTGCTCCCGAACTCTCGGGCCCTTCCTCCCTAGGATTTTGCCGGGCTCGAGGACAGGAACGTAAAGAGCTGCTTTTTCCATTACCTCCTGAGCGAGGCCAGAGAGAAGACAGCGAGGCTCCAAGTGGAGGGGAGGCCTGGGTGAGCTCGCTCATCCGCGCTCCCTTCTCGGGGCCTGCCCTGCACTCTGCCCCTCTGGCCTGGCTGCTGAAGGGGTGGGCTCCCCGCACTGTGCTTGGACACCCCCCCTGAATGTGCCCCTTCTGAGCAGCAGCTGATTGGACAAGGAGAGAACACGTGACTAATGAGCAGAGCCAATGAGAATCGCTCCTTGACAACTGGACTTAAGAGATGTAGGAAAAGAGGCAGTCAGTTGGGCCTCTGGAACCGCAAGGTCAGGTAGACTCCTGGGGCTGGAGTGCCCCCCCCGGGGGGGGGCCATGCATTTTGGCGAACAGAGAGAAGAGGAGTAAAGCCAGGAGTCATCCCATGAGGCCATTACCGCATGCAACTGAAGCACTGGAAATCGCCTGAGACTCCTGCTTTGTCTTCTCAGATATGTCACGACTTCCCTTCAGCTTCGGTAGAACACAAGGCCAGCAGCTCCTGGGGATCCTTGTACACGAAATGGGATCAACCACCCTGGCCATCTAACGGGGACAGCCAGCATCACAGGTGAGCAAGGGACCAGCGAGTGCCTGGTCCATTCCGGAGACCCCTGCTGACTTTCATCAGACGCCAA